CTCGGATTGTCTACTGATTTTGGTGACTAAGTAGTAAGTTATGCGTAAATCAATTTTTACTTTAGGTATTGTGACTTGCTATATACTCAAACATGGYTTTTAACTTTACACTTTTAACAAATAAAAAAGCATGAGATTTATGAACGCACAACGCACTAGATCCGCAGTAGAAATATGCCAATACGAGTTTTTAACAAATATATGTATTTTTTAAACTAATCTTTGGCACGGGCAGCATAGACCATCATCGCTGGGCGAGACAGCTAGTATAATAATAAACATAACTATTATTTCAAGACTTCACGAATAATATTGCTATAAAATAACCAAAATCGTTACCTGTTCTCTGTTCAAATACATACCTATCTAGTTTTATCATAGTTTGAACTTYAAATTGCCTATAGAAAAAATTATAATTATTGGATATAAAATTTTTGGATTTCTGTAAAAAATATGTTGTTTATGAAGAYCTTTGTATAAACTATTCAAGCTGAAACATCAATATTCTAGATATAAATAGCTCATAATAAGTCAAACTATTTTTAAAATGATATCATGTAAGTATAAAAAATACTAATACAAACATTTGGTGAAAATGTCGAATATAACTATACCTATACCTAGCTACAATCTTTAGTTTTTGCAGAATCACAAAAAAATCGATTTTATTTAAAACTTGTGCTATGATGTATTTACTATTTACTTTTTAAGTTGTGTATTCAAATATACCATACCCTTATATTAATATCAGTATAAGTACCAGCTGGTAACTATTTAATTRGAAAAATAGTTCGAGTTTCTTAAATTTTATACATTATAGATCATAATATATACACTATATATAGTCTAGCTGTTAGATAAGTGAAAGTTACATATTTACAATTTTTTTAAAACGCCATTTTGCATGAAGACTTACGTTTGATTATATTATTTTCAGATGAGATTGTTTAATAAACAAAAAGAAACCTATTAAATTCACAATTTAGATATTACCATGYAATGTATATGAAATATATATATAYATAATATACATGCACTATGAATTAATAAATATATATATGCTCCGAAATTACTCAACTAATATAAAYTTTAAAGAGTTCTAAATCATACAGTAGATCAGATACTATTAGAAATTCAAAAATACATAGATATTTTAAACACGTGCACTTAATACCAATTGATTACAAATATTTTTATGTATTGTTAATAATTGTAAAGTAAATTTTAAATCGTAAATTCCCATTTTCAAAAATTATTTACAGACAAATGTAGAATAAACGAAGAATATACGAAAAATCCAAAAATACTGTGTCCTATCCGTATTTTAGCCATATTTTAGCCGTAATTTTCTTGATTATCTCTAATGATCTTATGTATACTTCTACACACTTTAATACTATGTAAATATAAAATGTTAATTTTTTTTCTGAAAACTTAAGAATAAAACATAAAAAAATAAATATTATTAAAGAATTTTCATGCAAAAACAGTTAAACCGCTAAATTTTCACCGGATGTTTGTAATTCCATTTTATATATACCATTAAATTTTCAAAACAATTTATTTCTTTTTGAGTTATTTATAAGAAAATTTCAATTTTATAAGTTTTTTTAAAAACTATTATTCAAAAAAAAATGTTCTCTCAGTCAAAATACTTGAAAATTTAATACAAAACTATTCATTAGTTGTTATTAATGGAAATTWAAAAAMAAAAAATGTTAAGCTTAATCCACAACCCGTTTTTATGAGCCGTCCAAAGTTAGAATTTTGATTTATTCGTCAACATTATGAATTTTTTTATAAGTAATTTTGAGTTACAAATTCATAAGAATTTTAGTATGTAGCTAAGATTTGAAAATGTAATACAGGATTTCTTATTCATAACTATCCCTACCCTAAACAAAAAAAGTTTAGTGGAAACGGAAAAGTTTAATTCAATTTTTATAATTGGTTGAATGGTTGAAGCTTAATTTTTTTGTAATTGAAGATATCGTTGAATTCAAATTTAACACTTTCTTTTACACGCAGAGCTCACATGACAACTAAAAAAGCAGAACTGTATTCATTCATTCGCCTTTTTCAACCTGTRATAATGGACACTCTCTTATAGTTTATAATTTGTAAGATTGAATGAAATAAATTCAGGCACCCTTACCTAAATATTTTTGCAACTGTCACATAAGAAATGTCACCTAACCAGTCTTGCCCTTACACCGATTTATATTACAGAATTTTCATTTAAAAAAAAATCATGACCATGAGTAATATCTTTAAATAATTTCTATAATATCAAAAAGCAACAAAACAATTTCAACATTTTAGCATATACGTATTAAAGAAAATGTTAATATAAGCATTTGATGAAAATGTCTTGTATTTACATTCTATGTTTATTTGCTTTTAATGTACCTATAACAAAATATCAAAAATGAATTAAGGAAAAATAGTTAATTTAAAGGTGAATATTTAATGACGAAAAAAACTTTGAACTTCAAACGCTTGTAAGAAACTAATAGGATATTCCGATAAACCATGTAATAAAAATTGTATGATTGTAGCCTATAGCCTATAGGTATTATTATTCAAAA